AGGAGATGGAAAACTTCCCTCCGGCTGCGTTCCGAGCTGCGGCACTCGCCAGGGCAGGGCAGGGATGTTGATGGCTTGTCTTCTCCACCAGTCTCACCTGGGGGATGGAGACCTGTTCCAGTCCCTTTCCGTAGAGGGCCAGCAAGGTTTTCCCGGGCTCCAGGAGCAGAGAGCCGCGTGCCGGTCGGGAGAGCCGGCTTCAGGCTGGGCAGCAATTAGGCGGTGAGAAATGCAAACGGGGCAGAGAGCGATTGCGCCTGCCTGGCTGGCAGGGGATGGGGAGAAAGGAGGAGCCCTGCTCTGATCTCTCCCAGCTCCTCGTAAATAAGGGACAGACGGACAGAGGAGAAAGATGAGGTACCTGGAGAAAGCACGGGGTGGTGCGGGCTGAGGGCGGGGGGGCAGTGGGAATTGCGTCTTTGCTTGCCCCGAGAGGAGGGTGAATCCTTCCAGACGGCGCGGCACGATTACGCCGCCCCCCTAATAACGTCTTCCAAGGGCACAGCTCCCCTCCTGCGGGCTGCTAATGACTTTGTTTAGGCAAAGTTTGCTAATTATTTCTTTGGCGCTGCGCATCCTAATGGGCTGCGCTGGATGCCGCGGTTCTTCTCGCCTGGGCTCTGCTTTCGGAGAGGGGCGGCTCTGCTCTCCGAGGGGTGGCGCGGTCCCTCCTTGCCCGGCCGAGGCCACGGGGAATGATGGCTGTGGATCCTGCTGGGACAGGTGGCAGGGACATCCGCGCCCCCCTCCGTCCCGCAGCCGGTGGCCGCTTCGGACAGGGTTGGTGGCTCTTCCTTCCCCACGCACTAGCTGGTCCCCTGTCCCCGCTCTGGGATGCGATGGCAGAGAGCTGGGGCAATGCCCACGGGGATGGCACGGGCTCGTGCCCACTCTGCCTGCGGCCACCAGCCTGGTGGAAGGGGAGGATGCTCTGGGCAGGCTCCAGAAGCGCTCGCCTCTTCCCTGCCACCCATCACCTTTTCGGCAAGCCGGGGTCAGGGAATGCTCAACCTAATCCCTCTGAATTACAAGATACAAGCAATCGGATTAACCTAATCCCATTTAAAGGAGGAGGGGGAGTGGAGGAACATCCCCTTTCTTCCGCCTGCGAGCAGACGGAGAGGTTGCTTCTGCCTCTCCTGGAGACGGGACCCCAAATGCTCCGTTTCCAGTAGGCAAATATTTTGGATGAACAGAAGCACTCCCTGTTTGGGAGAAGTTTCTCTCCTTGGCAGAGGAGGGGAAATGAGTTTAGCTGGGAGGCTTTGAAGCTCTGCTTCCCCGGGCCACCTTGCTGATGTTTTCCTGCCCCCTCCTGCCCCTGCTTTCCTGTGCTGTCAGCCTTGGAAGCTTTTGCCTTGGTTGGGCAATGCTTGACGTCCAAAGTGAAATGCTTAGATCTGGGGAGACCTCCTGCAAGTACAGCTGGCCTGGCCCTGATCCCCCATCTCCCATCTCTCCCTCCCGCTTCCGTGGCAGAGCGACGGGCAGGACTCGGACGGCTGGTTTTCCAGAGGCCAACGGTCCGACCGAGCCACCACGCACCCCAAGCTCAACCTGACCAAGCAGGCTTTGCCCTGGAACGAGCAGGTAAGTGGGTGGGGAGCAGCCAAGGGGGTGATGGAGGAGGAGGAGGAGGTCCCAGGAGGTCCACCCTGCCCCTTGCTGGGAAGCCAGTGCTCCAAAGCCATCTCCAGTCGTTCTCCCTGTGCTCCATCGCCCAGCCCGGCCCGGGGCCTCTGCCTGGTCCCGCGGCCAACATGGTGCCCGTGAGGATGAGCTCCGATGGGCTGTGTGCTGTGGGGGGCATCAGCTCCCTCGTCGGGGCGCGCCCCCGCGTGTGGGTGTGCAAGGGGACACTTCACTGCCCGTCTTCTCTGGACGGCTCCACACTGTGCCCGTCTCCCGGTGCTGGCTGTGTGCTGGTGGGATGGATGCTGGGGGTGGGTGAAGGCTGGGCTCGGGCCCCTGGTGCCATATCCAGATGACATCCCTGGTCCAAGCGCGCCTGGGACCCAGAGAAGCAGCAGCAGCAGGAGGAGGGTTATCTCTTGGGGGTTGGTGTTGTGGCCACCTCCTGGGGTTTGGTGTCGTCACCCTGGGGCTGGGGCAGGGATGGGGGCTCGGCCCTTCCTCAGCATCGCTGCAGAAGAGCTGAGGCCAGGCAGGTGACAACCCTAGGGCTTGGCTTCCATATTTAAGCCTGCCCTAACGCTGTCCTTGGGAGGCGAGGGGGGGCACAAGGAGGACACCCCGCTCATCCCCCCCCATCTCATCCCGCAGTACAAAGGGAAGGCGAACTTGCACGTCTTCGAAGACTGGTGCGGAGGGGCCGTGAGGCACCTGAGGAAGAACCTCCATTTCCCGCTCTTTCCCCACGTAAGTCCCGGGCCCGATGGCGGTGGGTCGGAGCGGGGACCTGCTCATCCCTCTCCAGGGCTGCTGCCTCCCCACCAATTGTGGGCTCGGTCCTCAAGACCTTGGCTTGCAGGCTTTTTGGTTTGGTTCGGGGCAGGTAATTCCCAGCAGAGCAGGGATGGAGGGAGAGGTGGGTGGTGATGGGACCTCCATGGCCCCTCTGGCGCCAGGGACCCTGGGTGAATGAGGAGGAGGTGGGCTGGGTGGCATTGGTGCCAGGCGAGAGCTGGTTGTGCTTCCATGTCTCTGTCTCTCCTCGCAGACCCGCACCACCGTGAAGAAGCTGGCGGTGTCGCCCAAGTGGAAGAACTACGGGCTGAGGATTTTTGGCTACATCCACCCCTTCAAGGATGGTGAGCGATGGAGCTCGGCTTGTTCTCCCCCTGCAATGACACTGAGAAGCTGCCTCCTTCCACTGCCTTGGGCCTCATGGGGACAGAAAGGCTCTGAGGGACAGTCCTCAAACCCCTGGCTCCCAGGCAGGAGGGTCTTTGCTCTAGAAAGGTCTTTTCCCTGGCTACTTCCAAGGGAGGCAAAGCCCCGATCCCATCCAGGACACAGCCACGACGTGGGGCCTGGGGTGGCCCCATTACCTCCGTCCATCCATCCCTGTTTCCCCATCTCGCAGTGAGGCACTGGGGCTGAGCCCATGACACCACATCCCTCCGTTGTGACCTTCTCCTTTGCTCTTCCCAGGGGATTTCCAGTTTTCCGTGGCATCAGACGACAATTCCGAGTTCTGGCTCAGCTCTGACGAGAGTCCGTCCAACTCCCGGCTGGCTGCGTTCGTGGGCAAGGTACGTGCCGGCGTCCCCGACCCTCTGCCTTCCCCCGCATCGGGGGTGCTCGAGCTTCCACCGAGGGCATCTCCTCCCTCGGGGTGCCTTGCTCCCAGTATGCTGGTAACCATCCCGAACGCCTTTTGGGGATCCCTAGCGCTGTTACTGATGGCTCAAACCCATGGGCACTCTTCAGCCACCACAGCTTCTCCCTTCTGCAAGTCCCTCTGCTGCAACAGCTCCCAAGGGAGTGTTCTTTGCCCCTTTGGGAACTGCTGGGCTCCTCCAGCCTCTTCCCATCTCTGCCCCTAGCCAGGCCGAAGGACTTCCTGCCCCTTGGTCCCATCCTAGTTGTAGCTACCAAAGACCGGCTTCTGTCTCTGAATAGGAGATTTAATATTTGCTCCTGGACTTCCTTGGCATGAACTCCTATAACTGCAAACCCCCTCCGACCCGTGACCGCATCCATGCATTTTTGGGATTGTGGTGGTGTTGGCCGGTGACAAGTTCTTGTGGCTGGAGTGCCACCAGCTGGGGATGAGCGGGCCCTGGGAGAGAGC